TTGACTTAGGCTCATGAGGCTTTGGATAAGGGGCTGTTTAATTGCAGCTCTAGGACACTGTGAGGTGGGAAGGTCCCAGAGCTCAGGCTGCAGCTTGAGCCCGAATGTCTACACTGCAATTAAACAGCCCCTTAGCCTGAGCCCTGTGAGCCCAAGTAATCTGGCATGGGCCAGCCACGCATTTTTAATATAGACATGCCCAGAGTGTTGCAGCTAGGTGCACTAAATGCTCCAATAACAATGATGTGCGTAAAATGAGATAATCGCTATGCTCTTGAATGAACTCACACAGAAAAACTTTTAAAAGACAAAAACACCATATCACCTCGGGATAAACACTTTTCACAAAGTTACTTATTCTGAAGTAATTCTCCCGGCACAAAAACATGCAAAACAGAGTCCTGAATTGAGCCACATGATGGCATATAGTTAATGTTATTTGCATCTTGGTTCCTAAATTTACTTTTTATTGTTTGGAAGATATAAAACTTCCTTCCCTGACTTGAATATAACTAAAACTTGCACCCCGACTTGAATATACATAAGCTCAGACATAAGTATTAATCTGCCCATTTAAAAAAGTGTTTTTAAGAACAATTCATTAGAAAGTTAAACTGAATTCCTAAAAACCATGTGTGCATGGGGGAGATAGAATATGTTGTCTGCTACAGTTTTGGTGCCTTTTTCAATTAAATATTTAAATTTTTTTTTTTAAAAAGAGAACATGTGATGGGAAAAACTAAAAAGTACCAAACAGATCCAGAGGACTGTATTAAATTTTTTTTAAAATCCCAAATCCCTTCTCTGTTTAGATACGTAACACTCCACTCAATAAGATATGTAGTATATTTTCTAAACCCTTAAAGATTCTTAGTATAATATGTTTTGTCTCATTTTATTTGCAGATAGCCTTGGATACCAGTTATTGGACTGCCATCAATCGTTTTTTCATCTTGGGTAGTATAGCTGTGTATTTTGCTATTTTATTTGCAATGCACAGTGATGGGATTTTTGTTATATTCCCAAACCACTTTCCTTTTGTAGGTGAGTCTATTACCTGGTATGCGATTATACAGGCAATATTTATGCAATTTGCCACAATCTATATAGAGTTAGATCTTGTAAGTACATAGAAGAATGGCAGATATGGGAGGGAAACTTTGCTTAACTGAACTGATATTGCTTAAGTAATGTTAATGCTTTTCAAATTTACAAAAGCATCCTTGCTATATTGAGAGGCCTTGGCAACAATTAACAGAATAAGTAAATTAGTGAAGTAAAATTTACATTTTGGAGAGTTTTTTTCTTTCTTGCCTGCTCAGAGCGCTGGCCAGAATCCGCACCATCCCAGGAATCCTGTGCACAGTGGGGTCAGAACAATTTGCTGAGAGGATGTAGTTTGTGCAGTGGCTGTGCAATACAAGGCCACTCCAGTAATTACTGAGCCCCAGGAGGACTTCACTGAAGTCAGATGATGACTGTGTTCTTTCAAATGCATTTTTGGTAGCCAAATGCAAGCTACAGGAAGTGGAATGTCTGTTTTTTTAACAACTGGAGGCTTAAAGCATCAAGGAACTTCCAAAGCTATTTGATGACTTGAGATGAGTTTGTTTATGCTAATAAGGACAGCTGGAGCCATATGGAATTTTGGTAGTGTGATATGGTTTGAATCACCCAGGAAAATCCTCCAGAACAGGAGTACCTGCCACTATCCAAACCTCAGAAAAACCTTCATAAACAAATTCCAGTCCTACATTGCTTACACTTTGTGCATTTCCAATCAGACTTTGAACAATGCTAGCCTAAAAGTGTGTCCACCAAATCCCAGAAGAATATAAACTTTTTTTAATGGTGCAGATAGTCATGCTACCTTGTACGCTTGGAAATCTTGATAATCAGAGTCATGGTTAAATGATGTAGAATGTTTCTGATGGCACAAATGGGTCAATTGTTTTAGTCTACAGGATACCATTAGCAAACTCACCAGTACAAACTTGGCAGATTTGCTAAATGGTCAACTGGAAATCTAGTCACTCTTGGGCTGAATAATGCCACTGTGACCTGTCTGTAGTGTAGATTGGACCATTTTGCTGTGACAGTCCACACATCATGCTAAACAGAAAATTGCTACTCAGTGCAGAGCACCTGAGTGTGATTTGGGAAGGAAATGAAGTAGTATTAAATAAATGAAAATAATTAACTAGATGGGTTGAAAATGTGCATATTTCTTAATGAAAACGTTGGTTAAATGTCTGTTGGATGGCTCAGGTGACAAGCAACTGGATATGGATCCTTTGTCCTGTAGGACATGGCTTGTAATGTGGCTTTAGCGGTTTAAAGCCAATTGATACCATTTGATGGTGCGTCAGAATTAGGGCCTAATACAGAGTCGATACTTTAAATGTAACCCTCTCATGAATCATATGTGAAAGAAGAATAAGGTGGTCAGAGTATTGGTCCAAAGAGCGGAGATTGTCCTCTGGCCATTTGATCAGAAACCAAACAATCTGACAGTTCAAAAATTGATGAGGAATCTGATATGAAGAAAAAAATAGTAGTGCCACCACTGTCTTCTCATGCTGCTCTTATGTTCATCAGTGCAGCCACTCACTTAAATCCTCCTTTGGAATCCATCTTGCATTTTTGGATTATGTCAAATTTTAGATGTTGCCAAAGAATTTTGTAATTTCAGCAGTAAGCATTTGTATCTCTAGAAAAATTCAAGCATTTTTGTAACAGAAACACATGTTAACATAAAGAAAAGATAATTTAATATGTCTCACAACTGCAAACTATTAACAACAGCCTTGTACTCCTAACAAATATGTTTCATTTTCTTGTGTTAATAGGAAATGCCCGTAATTCCCTGAGCCAGATAAGTGTTTGGCTTGTCATCCTCTTGACTACTGTGATTTCAGTCATGCCTGTAATAACATTCCGATTTTTGAAGGAAGATTTAAATCCAACGCTAATTGATCAGGTATGACTTAATCCTATTATGTGAGAGTTTTTCTTTATCATTGCATCCCACATATAGAGGGAACTAAAATTTTTCCAGACAGACAGAATTTATAGTTCTTACATAACTACTGGGGGGAAATATACTATTAGTTCTCTCAAAGCATCACCATCGACTCTATACAATTTGACATGTGCAAGAAGTGAAAAATAATACTTAATTCATAATAGACTTTTAGGTCAGCATTTTTTTTTTACTTTTTATTTATAAGTTTAAAAAAAGTTAACACACACAAGCAAAGGGCAATGTTGTGCCAGAACTTTTTAAGCAAACTAATTTATATGGGAGCTTTTGCATAATTACTGATAGCATAATATATCCCAAGGTTTTACATTCTTAGGAGTGAATAATAAGTGATGTCCCATCCCAACAGTTAATTTTTTTAATGGTTTATAGTTTGGGCCAAATGTTGTTCACCTTACACATGTGAATAATCTCACTGACTTTAGAGGGATAGTTCACATAAACTGCTGGTTAAAATTTATTGGAATAGAAATCCAGGTAACTCAAATCCATGCCAAATCTTAACAACAAATAGATTGTTTTCTGCCATTCCTTCACTATTCATAAAAACACATGAAAAATAAAGCTGTAAAGTATATTCCATCTACATGGTAATTTATCAATCAATATAATAATCCCCATTGTATTCAAGTTATTGGGTATAAACTAGTGTAACAGAATGTTAGGTGAGGTCACAGTTCTACATATGCTGTGAGTTTATTTTCAAATTTTAAAAGGATTAATTATGTGGGGGGAAAGCAGTTGACAAAATGATCCAAATGTCCTCTTTAATTCTCTGATTTCAGTGACATCAAAGTGGCCAATTAGCTCTAGGCTTCCTGCTTCTAATAGCACTTAGGTAGCACTTCACATCTTCAAAGTGCTGTTATGAACATTAACTAAAAACTCCTCACAACAGACATTTGAGGTAGCTAAGTATTATTTTTCCTATTTTATAGATTTGAAAAAGAGACAGTAAGATTAAGTGATTTGTGCCAGGCCACACAGAGAATCAGTGACAGAGCTAGTATTAGAACTCTTGCCTTCTAGGCAGGAGATCTTCACTCCACACTCTGGCCTATATACTGCACTGGGCTGGAATGGCATAAAGGGGTCCGAAAAACCCTGGTTCAGCTGTGGAAGTAGTCCCTTGGTGCAAGCATTGGGGAAGACAGGCATAAGGCTGCTTTCCAAGGACCGCCTCAAACTCAGGCATAGGAGGCAGGGCTGCAGCACTGCAGAGATTCCAGGGAGTGCTACTGCCCATAGGGCAGCCCATGGAAGCTACCATAACTCAGACAGGCCCCAGGGCTGTTGCAGTTATGCCAGATGCCCCAGGACTGGGAGTGTATAAAGGTGAATTAAAGCCATTTTAGTCCCCTGTTTCTCCGGGCTGCAAGTTCTGTGCTGTGCCTCAAGAGTCATACCACAGAATCTTCCCCATGGCCTTTGCTCAGCCCAGCAGAACACGGTGCCTCTCTAACACTCCACTGATGGCTTCAGCACATGTTTTTACTTTGGAATCTACTGGAATCTCTTTCACCTATGTTGTTGTTTTTGTTTTTTCATTTTGTTTGTTTTTTTTTCATTATAAAGGCCCCTCCAATATAACTGAGATCTAAAAATTAGTCAGAGTTTACAACACAAAAATAATTTCACATATCAATGGAAACTTTCCCCCTAAGGTTCGGAAGTTGCAGAAGGCTAGAAGAAAGCAGAAACCATTACAGAACTACATGTGTCAGGTGTCCAGAAGAAGCTCAAGAAGATCTGCATATGCTTTTTCTCATCAAGAGGGCTTTGGGGAACTTATAACATCTGGAAAGAATATGTGAGTCAATAATTCACATCAAACATCAGAGTTAGCTAGGACCATGCATAATAGCATCAGTTGGATTGAGAATTTACGTAAGAAAACAGCAGAGACAGTGAACAGCTTCAGGAGTGACAGAACTGTGAAACTGTGAGTCAAAGAAGAAAACAAAAGTTTATTTTAAAAAACTGTGGCCATATCTTTGCACTGTTTGCCACTTTGTAAACATTAAGCATGAAATTTCCATGTCTGCTGAGTACTGTAGCGGAAGTGTCTAACCCACCATATTTTACAGCATGTTCAAGAATGTTGTCAGCACACAATATTTTCAAAGGGCTCTCTTGTTTTTTTTAATTTTTTCCTTTTTCTGAAAAGCGTTTACCATAGCAAAACAATGTGTGTAGCTGCTTCAAGAGGTTGGACTATCCATGAGAATATCTATAAGAAATTTCCCTCAAAGTTAAGGGAAAATGCAGTATTCAAATATTTGAATTAGTCATATATTCCAGTATAATTATTTCATACTGCTGAAGTCAGGGGCATTTAAAAAACTGTTAGAACGAAACCATGGTAAAAAGTCATTAACCTCTTTTTAACTGACTTGTATTTATTTAAACAATGTAAAAGTTTCAAAGTCAAATGATTTCAGGGTGTATATTTTTTAATATTTGAAATTAAGTTTTTAAATTGTTTATAAATTGAAACCAAAAATAAAATACTGTGTAATTATACAATATCTGTCCATATGTGCAGAGTGTTTCTGTTGTTTGCATTCACTTCTATTTTATCTGCTGTTTAGTAATTAAGTGCATAGTTTGAAGTTACGGCATAACTCTTTCAGGTTAATTCCTGCTGAAATATAATGGACCCGATTCCCTTCTCTGCTCTGATGTAAATTAGAAATGACTTTAGAGAATTCAATGGAATTACAAAAGCATAAATGGGAAGAGAATCAGCTCCAACTTTTCTTTTGTTGTCTTTAGCACCTTGGAAGGTTTTACTCTGACTGTTGAAAAGAGAAATGCCTGTAAGGAGGGGCTTTATCAGATTCTGTGTGGAATCTAGGAAATCTGCTTTACAATTCTCTGTTTTTAGAGATCTCACAAAACACTGTACTTTTCAATGTAAGTCACTGTAAAAATATAGCAGAGGACTAGCTTAATTTTAAAAAGGATTGATATACCCTTATATTACTTTGCACCTTAGCTACCTTATGATGGAAATTGGGATTTGGGAGACTGTAAGAATTTTATACTGTAGATGTTGAGACTATATATTATCAGAATTGTAAAAATTCCAGTTCTGGATTTTGAACACCCAATTTTTTTGGTGGTATATCCAGGGTTTTGGTCGGGTTCCATCCATGATACACATGTATCAGTAGCTAGTTCCCAGTTTAAATAATTTATAGAAGAGAGGAAAGGAATTCAAAATATGAGCTTCCAGCTAACTCTTCTTCATGGAGGATAGAAGATTGTAAGCAGAGAATTCTCTTTTATATTGTTTAGCTTCAGTATGTTGAGATAGAAGATTTTTAATACTATTTAATACAGCTAAATGGTAACTGAAGTCAATGAGGAAAAAACTCCATTTAGCTTTTAGAAGAAACTGTACTATACTTTGTATAGGTTTATGTTTAAAATATACCTTCACCAACTGACCCAGTGTGATGTCACCAAAGGGAACCTAAATTTTAGTATTGCAAATTCTAATGAACAAAAAATAAAGATTTGAAGATTAAAATAGCCAGGGGTATTTGTCTTACATATTTTATTTTTCTTTGGATTTGTGCATGATTATTTTGGGTAGTGTAATGTATAATCATGTTGAGCATTAATTTCCCAATCTGGCACAAATATCTATAAATTTGCAACACTTCAGTGTGTTTCTTCCAGCACAGAGAAATCATTCTGTCAAAGTCTGTACTGATTTATATCCTATGTAATTCTGTTCAAGCTAAAGGGATTGCATGCAGTATAAATTACCACAGAATTTGGCGTATTATCCTTTGCAAACTATCAGGCCCAACATTTTAGTGAAATGACTTGGAACAATCCAAATGCTTAAGCCTGCAAATAATAAAAGAACATAATAAATGAGGTTTTAATATTGCTTATTTGTAGATCAATAATTGCCATGTTTAGGTCCTATAAAAGAAAAAAAGAGCATTTCCAAATTTCAAATGTTTTGCAAAATAAATGTTCATATAGGTTAAGTGGTATGAGGTATAAATTATTTTTAAAACATACTTATAATTAATTGACAATTACACAAAAGAATGGACCATGGAGAATAGAAAGATGTTGAAATGCTGGCAACTATTTGGAAATCATTGCATTAGCAAAACAAGTTCTTAACAAAGTTGATGAAAAACAGTATCATTCTGTAGTTTCTAAAGAAAAATAAGTTTCAGTGTTAAACTTTGTAGTTTTAAGACCAGTTGGACTTTACTGTTTTAGGAATGTTTATTAAGTACTTGTCAGGTAAATTTGTTAGTAATGGCTTTATTTAACCAATCAATGTGCCCAGTTAAACAAGAGGTATGTATCAGGAAGATACTCCAAAAGTGCTTCAAGAGACAACTCCCAATGGGAACCCCAAACTGTATTTATTTGACAGGACAGTTGACCGATTTCATCCATGACAACTCCAAGCACTTGAACAGAATCATATACCCAATTATACCAGACCGCATTTGGCCTGATATGTTTTTGTGTTAGATCCCTTAAAAGGTATATCTTAGGTAATGAGAATATTTAAAGCTGTGTAAGTTTCATTCCAAATTGTCTGAACTCTCTTGTAATAGAAAACATTTTGAATGTTTATGTATTGTTTCATAATTTATTTAAATCATGTATGTCCTCAATATTTTTTACAAATATACTATTTATAAGTATTAATAATATATTTGGTTTGTGTTTTATGCCTTTGTGAAAATGTTGTGATTAACTGATTAGATCATATCAAAGCACATTACCAGCTGCCTTTATTCTATGGCGATGAACACTATAGAAATGCTGTTAAAAATTAAATAAGTGCATTCTAGTAGATGGAAGATGCTGGTTTTCTAGTGAAAGAAAAAAAGGTCTGATTTTTTTCAGTAATATTGAGTATCCTTGGTTCCCATCAAAATCAATGGGAACTGTGGGCAACTTGCACATTTGAAAATCAGGCAGAAGTTTGGATGCAGCTCTTCAAGGTTACGGAGGATACTTTTTCAACCTTTTGGAATTTCTCAGGCAGCCACCCAAAATACGAGTTGCTCTTCTTCCAAAATGCATATACAAAACTGTTATATTAGATATGTTTCAAAGTGCTTTTTCATTTATATTCGCTTTTGTTATATTTAACAATGGGCTTCTTAGTGTCTTACCTACCTTCAAAGCAAACAATTAATAGGACTCCCCTCCTCAATGGGCAGGAAGTATAGCTATCCCTCCATCACCCACCAGAATCCATAAACTAAGGTCAAGCAAATTCCTGGTAAGGAACATGAACCTTGCACTGAAGGTCAGCAAACTCGCACTCTAATAATCACCTAAGTTCCACAGCTGAGAAGCTTTCTGCCTCTGTTATCAAGTGCAAAACTGGGCACAGTCACCCAGAATGCCTCAGCTAATCTTAGTCATCATCACAATGCACAGAGAGAGGGGCTTTCTCTCCGCTTGGACCGAAACCTAGTGTGACAAAGTTCCTCCTCTATCTTGGTGGGTCCTGCGCTTATTGGCGGATTTTCTTGCCTCAGAGATTCACCATGTGGGTTGGGGAACAGCCCAGAGACCTTCCCCTCTGGAAGAACCCACAGTCCAGGTCAATTGGGAGGTTTGGGGGGAACCCGGGCCCGCCCTCTACTCCGGGTTCCAGCCCAGGGCCCTGTGGAATGCAGCTGTCTATAGTGCCTCCTGTAACAGCTGCATGACAGCTACAACTCCCTGGGCTACTTCCCCATGGCCTCCTCCAAACACCTTCCTTATTCTCACCACAGGACCTTCCTCCTGGTGTCTGAAAACGCTTGTGCTCCTCAGTCCTCCAGCAGCACACTCTCAGCTCCTTGCGCCTTTTGCTCCCAGCTTCTCACACTCGCACCACAAACTGAAGTGAGCTCCTTTTAAACCCAGGTGCCCTGATTGATTCTAGCAGCTTCTTCTTAATTGGCTCCAGGTGTCCTAATTAGCCTGCTTGCCTTAACTGGTTCTAGCAGGTTCCTAATTACTCTAGTGCAGCCCCTGCTCTGGTCACTCAGGGAACAGAAAACTACTCATCCAGTGACCAGTATATTTGCCCTCTACCAGACTCCTGTACTCCACTGGTCTGGGTCTGTCACACTAGTTAGAAATTATTTGGCTCCTAACACCACGTATAGGGTAGGGAGTAGCAGAGGAGCTTGAAGAGAAGGAAAGGATGTTGTCTCCCACAAACCACAGCTCTCAATCCTGGAGCTGACCATCTACCCTACTGGGGCTAGGTGTCGCCTCTGAATCCTTCCCACACCATCAGACATTACTTACAGCACAAACAAGGTTCTGCCATCCCTGACTGTCATGCTGTTTGCTGGAATAGCTACCTTGTTATGTTTCTGTAACTTAACTTTTTTATGAGGCTAGATTGTTGGCCTATCACTCAAGCCCCAATGTGGAGGACCAGTGGACTGCCTTTCATCTGGTATCTACCCTTTGGCCTGTTCAGTTCAGGTCAGACTGGTAGTTAAAACTTCTGCTGCAATAGTGGTTAGGGTCATTGGGACACCCAAGCCTTCCCATTGTATCAAGGTGCAGTCTCCAGGGATGTATCCCATAGTCTGTAAGAACTCATTTTCCCAACCTCATGAGACTGTCTGCTTGAAGAACATAAGAATGGCCATACTGGGTCAGACCAAAGGTCCATCCAGCCCAGTATCCTGTCTGCCAACAGTGGCCAATGCCAGGTGCCCAGAGGGTAATGATCAAGTGACCTCTCTCCTGTCATCCATCTCCACCCTCTGACAAACAGAGGCTAGGGATACCATTCCTTACCCACCCTGGCTAATAGCCATTAATGGACTTAACCGCCATGAATTTATCTAGTTCTCTTTTAAACCCTGTTATAGTCCTCGCCTTCACAACCTCCTCAGGCAAGGAGTTCCACAAGTTGACTGCACTGTGTGAAGAACTTCCTTTTATTTGTTTTAAACCTGCTGCCTATTAATTTCATTTGGTGGCCCCTAGTTCTTATATTATGGGAACAAGTAAATAACTTTTCCTTATTCACTTTCTCCACACCACTCATGATTTTATATACCTCTATCATATCCCCCCTTAGTCTTCTCTTTTCCAAGCTGAAAAGTCCTAGCCTCTTTAATCTCTCCTCATATGGGACCCGTTCCAAACCCCTAATCATTTTAGTTGCCCTTCTCTGAACCTTTTCTAATGCCAGTATATCTTTTTTGAGATGAGGAGACCACATCTGTATGCAGTATTCAAGATGTGGGCGTACCATGGATTTATATAAGGGCAATAAGATATTCTCCGTCTTCTTCTTTATCCCTTTTTGAATGATTCCGAACTTCTTGTTTGCTTTTTTGACTGCTGCTGCATACTGCGTGGACGTCTTCAGAGAACTATCCATGATGACTCCAAGATCTCTTTCCTGATTAGTTGTAGCTAAATTAGCCCCCATCATATTGTATGTATAGTTGGGGTTATTTTTTCCAGTGTGCATTACTTTACATTTATCCACATTAAATTTCATTTGCTATTTTGTTGCCCAATCACTTAGTTTTGTGAGATCGTTTTGAAGTTCTTCACAGTCTGCTGTGGTCTTAACTGTCTTGAGCGGTTTAGTATCATCTGCAAACTTTGCCACCTCACTGTTTACCCCTTTCTCCAGATCATTTATGAATATGTTGAATAGGATTGGTCCTAGGACTGACCCTTGGGGAACTAGTTACCCCTCTCCATTCTGAAAATGTACCATTTATTCCTACACTTTGTTCCCTGTCTTTTAACCAGTTCTCAATCCATGAAAGGATCTTCTCTCTTATCCCATGACAACTTAATTTACGTAAGAGCCTTTGGTGAGGGACCTTGTCAAAGGCTTTCTGGAAATCTAAGTACATTATATCCACTGGATCCCCCTTGTCCACATGTTTGTTGACCCCTTCAAAGAACTCTAATAGATTAGTAAGACGTGATTTCCCTTTACAGAAACCATGTTGACTTTTGCCCAACAATTTATGTTCTTCTATGTGTCTGACAATTATATTCTTTACGATTGTTTCAACTAATTTGCCTGGTACTGACGTTAGACTTACCGGTCTGTAATTGCCGGGATCACCTCTAGAGCCCCTTTTAAAAATTGGCGTTACATTAGCTATCTTCCAGTCATTGGGTACAGATGCTGATTTAAAGGACAGGTTTCAAACCATAGTTAATAGTTCCACAATTTCACATTTGAGTTCTTTCAGAACTCTTGGGTGAATGCCATCTGGTCCCGGTGACTTGTTACTGTTAAGTTTATCAATTAATTCCAAAACCTCCTCTAGTGACACAATTCCTCACATTTTTCACCTACAAAGGACAGCTCAGGTTTGGGAATCTCCCTAACTTCCTCAGCCGTGAAGACTGAAGCAAAGAATTAATTTAGTTTCTCCACAATGACTTTATCGTCTTTAAGTGCTCCTTTTGTATCTTGATCGTCCAGGGGCCCCACTGGTTGTTTAGCAGGCTTCCTGCTTTTGATGTACTTAAAAAACATTTTGTTGTTATCTTTTGAGTTTTTGGCTAGCTGTTCTTCAAACTCCTTTTTGGCTTTTCTTATTACATTTTTCACTTAATTTAGCAGTGTTTATGCTCCTTTCTATTTACCTCACTAGAATTTGACTTCCACTTTTTAAAAGATGCCTTTTTATCTCTCACTGCTTCTTTTACATGGTTGTTAAGCCACGGTGGCTCTTTTTTAGTTCTTTTACTGTATTTTTAAATTTGGGGTATACATTTAAGTTGGGCCTCTATTATGGTGTCTTTGAAAAGTGTCCATGCAGCTTGCAGGATTTCACTCTAGTCACTTTGCCTTTTAATTTCTGTTTAACTAACCTCCTCATTTTTGCGTAGTTCCCCTTTCTGAAATTAAATGCCAGAAGCAGAAGAACACATTTTCCTCTAAACCCCGTGGTATCCCTAGTCACCAGAGACAGATTCTGGGGGGTACCTCTTGCCCCTACTTGTTAAAAGGAATAGGAAAAATCCTTTCTCTTGGTTGCATTTTTGTGTTTGCTGCTAGATGGAGGAAGAGAATCATATCTCTGACATTGGACACTTTTAAGAGCAGGTTAGACAAACACTTCTCAGGGATGATCTAGATAATACTTAGTCTTGCCTTGAGTGCAGGGGACTGGACTAGCTGACCTCTCGAGGTCCCTTCCAGTGCTACAATTTTAGGAGTCTATGATTAAATCCCCTCCTCCTCTCCCTTTAGGGTCTCTGGAAAAGACTTCATGGAGAAGGATGTGTCAGTGAGCTGGGGAATAATCTATTTCCCTATTCATGGTCAAATGTTGAAACTAACTTTCATGTAATCTCACTTGTCTTGTACATGCTTTAAAGAACATTATCTTGCCATCATCCCAGTCAGAAAGCATATATTGTAGTTGTGTTTTATAATAAGATACAAAAGCCAAATTATATAAATGTTTTATCTAAGTTGTGTTTTATGTGCCTCATATATCATGGAAAGTGTGGTGTTAATGTGGAATTAGAAAGGGACCCAAATGGAATGCTTTCCAACTATGGGTAAATTCTTATCCAGATCTGAATGTTTCAGTTCTAGTTCATTTCTGTAGAAAA